CTGCTCCTTTTCACCACCATTTGGGGAAGGGGTATATTATTAGTATCTTGTTATCACTGCTGCACCAACAATAAGTAACAGAGATCCCCAAAGCCTAGAGGAAACTTAACTCTCCTTCACAGTAGCACCACACATACACATACCAATACCAAAGTATGAGATACAACAACTCCCTCCTGAAATCCTACAAGAGTCCTGAGAGTCACACATTGAACCCACCTCTCCCAATGAAGGAAAATAATTACTGGCACAACCTGGCATTTAACTGCTGTCAAATTTAACATTCATGTCAATGGATCTCATTTTTACTTCCTCTGCTCAGCCTTTTTCTTTCTGTCTCCTGATGATGCACAAATTTAGCTCCTTCTAAAATCTGCAGAATCACCTTATTTATCCATGTAATTTTGACATGTAGGTTCTCAGAGACACCTGTAAACCCACTTTATGCATTTAACTATACTGAAAATGAGTAAATTTGAAAAAAAAAAATTGATTTATGAGTCTTTAAAAGTGCTAATAGCATTTTTTAAAAATTGGCCTTTGATAAACCATTTAAGAACCTGGAATAATAAAATGTCTGTCACCTAACCATGTGTATTTTTTTTCCTTTTTTCAATGCAAACATAATAGGAAATGCATGAAATTTTTTTAAAAATATCCAACAGAAGAGCAAGTCACCTTTTACAAGTCATGAATTGTGGGGAAATACACAGTTTCAGTTATAAAAAGTTTACTTAAACAATGATAGGGATCAATATTTTCAGGGAGTGAAAAATTCCAATAAATTTAGAGCAGTAAAAATCAATGTTCTTAAGAATGAACTCTAGGCATTTAAGAAATCAATGTCTATGAAGGTATTTTTTTTCAGTAGGAATTGCTAAAAGAATTAATACATGCTTATTTCGCTTTTTTCTGATAATTTGAATTCACATTTACACTTAAAAACTATACCAATGTGCCATAAAGTTACTGCATACATTCATTGTGTTGAAGAAGGACCACATTGCTTCTTCAGACTAAGCCTTTATTTGACTTCACAGGATTATTAACAAACATGGGACACATGTAAGAACATTTAATTTTTCTTCAAAATATGAAGCAGCACTATGCCATCACATGTCACTATCAATCTATCAAGAGCGCTCACACAGTACCCAGATTAAGTATAGTATCTAATATTTTGGATATAGGCAAAGAGAGCATCTGTGTTACAGTATTAAAGTTATTCCTTCTCTTCCCCCCCCCGCCCCCTTTGAAATACAAATACTGTATAACAGCATATATCATAGCAGAACATGAGAAAACACTAGTGGTTATTATCCTAACTACAACATAAATTAGTCCTGCAAACACAAAGGACCATTTCCAGTGGGGATTTGTGATGGTCCACAAGAGACCCAGCAATGCCCATTGATCATAAACGATACCGTTTAAAATCTTATTTTTTGCTGAAAATATTCCTCAGAAGTACTCCTACTACAGTAAAATCCTGCATATGCACAGTCAAGATCTGTGGTAATAAGTCATTGTGCATTTATTGCTTCTGTAGTACCAAAAGACTTTTTCCCTACCCGCACACCAACTATCTGGGAAAGAGTGAACTCTGACCGACATAAGGACACAAATTCAACATGTCATATTGCTTTCGGAGTGTCACACCACAAAATCAAATTGTTGCCCTATATGGCTTCAGTTGTGGGGCCTACTAATTTTGTTTTCCATGCTAACAGCAACCTGTAAACTATGTTGAGCTTATACTCCAATTTAAATGTTTGGGTGTAGGGCTTTAGCTTCTGAAAGCGAGTTGAACATTTAAGTCAGCAAAGAAAGCCTTAAGAAGTAATCAAATAACCATCAGCGATTCAAAATTTATCACCACTGACCTTTTGGTTTTGGCAGACAAACAGAATATGTATTAAATTGTGACCTCAAGTATAAAACAGCATAAAGTCAACTGCACATACTTCATTTGCATCGGCTGTTTGCCATCTCAGACACCAACTACGAGCAGGATCATTTTCCAGAGTCTTTTTTTTTTTTTTTTTTTTAAAGTAGCGCTTTAACACACCTTCAAAATGTAAAATGTCATTACTGTATTTCATTCAAATTATCCACATAAGCTATTGCAAATTCTAGCATTTCCTCCACAACCACCACAGGCAACAGAAAGCCTCCAAAACACAGTATTTCTGATCCTTCAGGACACTCAAGTTATTCACATTATCCAAAATTAAAATTTATCTACCTTACTCCCACATTTCTGTTTCACATCTTGACTGATTTAGTACTTGTTAGAAAGCTATCAATCACCTGTCTTGCCGTATAAAGAAAAAAGCCAAAACTTTAAATCAGTTCTCATGAGGAATCACCAGATTATATTAAATATAATCCGTTCTTCTGTCCTTTTGTACTGAATTCAAACCATCACCACTATACACACTGATTCCAAACACTATTAAATCACTGCACCCCACCACCACCATCATGATAATGTTCAGGGTAATAATCAAGTTTCATAATATTTCTTCTCACAATGCACCTTACTTTTACTCCAAGTCATGCCACAGAATGTTGTGCTCAATGACAAGCACAATTTAGTTACATTCCTGAGGAAGAGGATGGAGAGGATACATTGCAAAAGTAGACTGAGTGCACAATACAGTATTGCATCATAATCTCCATCAAAACTTTAGTTTTAAAAAAATTGCCACTTTCCTTGTTTCTTAAAAAGCAAGGAGCTTTGTGGTCTTTTTATCTTCCTTGGTTTCTCTGCCCCTACATTTCTTTCAGTGTATGTCCTCATTGTACCCGTGTTCTCAACAGCAAGCGTAGTTCATTTAGAGCTTTTTAGTAAACTGGTGTTTTAACACTACATTGTGATGAGGAGCTGAGTAAACTTTCCATCAGGTTCTACTATGAAAGAAAACAGGGAGATGCCTGTTCTGGAAACCATTTTTGTAGGTGACTCATCAGATAATCTGTCCAAAATGGAAGGAACTAGAGGTTGTGAAACACGCTGACAAAATAAATAACAATAATCAGCAGCACTTTATATGCATTTTAAAAGAACTTAAGGTTAAATAGCTGAATAAAGAATGACAGTGGGTTACTCAGCAGTTCCTTGGCACCTCGGGACTAGAAATGGCAAATGTAAAACAACTTTTAAAAATATAAAAGAGTGCAACAAATCAAACTATTAATGTAAGCAGAAACTATAATTAAAAATGTGATTAGTGAACACTTAAAAAAATACATGATTTACATAAGAAGAATTGGCATGGCTTTTGCAAAAGGAAATCCTGCTCTTCAGAACTATTTAAGATCTCTGAAAGATTCAACAAGAACAGGGGTGAGGGTCCTGTTGTTGTCAAAAATCAGCTCTGGCTTTTGAAAAGACTTTTAACAAAATCCCCTACCAAAAGGTTACTAGGAAACTAAGCAGCTGCAGGATGAGGAGTGGTCTTTATAACAATAAGCAGAAACACATTACCCAAGATATGAATCTCTGGCTTGCTCACACCTTGACTACTACCTACAAAAGAGGAAGGTAGAAGCCACAACCAAAATAAACAAAAAGGTAATTCTTTTCCACCCCGGGTTTGTAGGCCTGAGGTGTCTTCTTGCCACCCAGATGTTGCATATACAAGAACTTTACGCAGCTTCAAGGGGAACTGGAAAAATTCACAGAATCAAAAAAAAAAAAAAAATCTACTGGGGCATATTAAATAAACACAAACCCACATCTGATTCAAGCAGTCCCCTGAGCTAAAACTCATTAAAGAAAAAGAGAACAGTCAAAGGGAAATGTCATGCATCTGATTGGTTTTCATCTTCGGGCATCAACTGTTGCCCATGACTAATTTTTTTTTTTTTTTTGCAACAGTTAACATTTACAGATGTTATGACTTGCACGATATTTCCGATGACTTATTTACAGGCACTTCATCAAACATTAGCTCCTGAACTCTGATGCTTTTCAGAGACTACAACTACACTGTTAGCAAAATTACATGCCTTTCTCCTTGTTTTACCAACCAACAGAAACAGATGAAATCAACAGAGGTACTAGAATTCTTTGGTAGTTTTGCACAAACTTTCCAGTTTAGTAACAACTGACATACTGCCAACTCCATTAAAAGGATATATATACACAGACATACAACCAAGTTACTGTAGGATCAAAAGCCAGTGCCCGCTTTAAAAAGATACCTGAATTTACATGAAGTTACACTGACCCCTCCTTTCCCCACTGTTTGAACGGATTTCAAAATCAGCTGCGAAGTTGTTCGGTAGCTTCTTGTTTTGACAAAGCACCGAAGACTGAGGACTCATGTACCTCACTGCATGGCACTCAGGGAACATCGCAACCCCCTTTCCCACCTCACACCGCTCCCCGCCCCCCGGGAACATTTTCCACCTTGTCCAGGTGTCACAGAGGCAGGCTGTGCTTGGAAAGACAGGCTCGGGGCCTAACGCAGTACACCCAAATTTTACACGCCTGCCGAGAACCAGCGGCTTCTTAAAAAAACACAGAACACACGAAAACCCAAACCCTCCGAAGCCGGGGTTTGCGAGGCCCCGGGCGTGCGGCCCAGGCGCCGCCGCAGCCAAGGCGCGTTCCCGAGCTGGGGCGGCCCGAGGCTCGGATCCGCCGCCAGCCCCCACGCCTGCGCACGGACGGACACGCGCCCCCACGGGACACGCCGCTGCGCGCCCACGGTGACGCAGGACACGCCCACACTCGCAGCCCCACCTCCGCGCGGGCGTGAGGGCGACTTCCCCCCACCCCCACCCCCCCCCCCCCCCCGCTAAGACACCGACTGCCGTTGCTAAGTAACCAAACCCCGTCTGCCCCCCCCACCCCCCCGCCCGCTCCGCACCTCCCGCCGCCCCCCGCCACCGCGACGCACCGCCCCGGGGCCTCAGCGCAGCCTCCGGAGCACCGGGGCGGGGCGGGGCGGAGGCGAGGGCCGGCCGGGGCCGCCTGCCCTGAGCGTCACCTGCAGCTCCCGCACTCCGGCCGCCGCTCGCAGCGCTCCACTGGCAGCTCCCACAATCCGGCGCAGCCCTCGCCGTCCTCACCCGGGGCCGGGGCCGGGGCCGAGGCCGAGGCCTGGGCGGGGACCGGGGCCGGTCCGGCGGCGCTGCCCCGCTCCATGCCGGCGCGGTGGTAAGCGCGGGCCGCCGCCAGGGGGCGCCGGCGGGCAGGAAAAAGCCGCCGTCCCCGCTCACGTGAGGCGCCCCGCCCCTTCGCGCGGCCCCCGCCAATCGCGGGCCCCGCCAACCGCTTCCGCACCCCCTACCGCCGCCCCGGTGAGGCCCCGGCCCGGCCCGGCCCGGTCCCGGGTCGCGGCGTCGCCGCTCACCCGGCCCGTTGCCTCCCGGCGGGCCCCGGCCTGTCCCCGCCGCGCAGCCCTTCTTCACCGACCGGCGCCTCCTTCGGCGCGAATCGCGGGTTAGGCCGAGGCGCTCGGCGCGCCCCGACGGCAGCGGGCCTGGTCGGAGCCTAGCTCGGCGCCGCGTCAGGGTAGACGTTTGGGCCTTGCCATGTCTGTAGGGTTTCCTTCACACAATTTCCTGCCATCACACAGCTCTAGGAGGGAGGCTGCAGCACAGGCTGTGATAGTAGGGGCGTGGTAAAGTAACAAATAAGTTCACAGTGTCTTTTCCAACCTCCATAGTACCTGCTCTTAAATAAACTGTGGGTACAGACCAAGATTTAGATGCAAGTTACATGCTGCTTGTTACAGTAGATATGATAATGAACATCATGTACTGGAGTCTGTTATCCCAAGGTTGATACTGTTCATCTTAGAAATCTACTGATACAGTAACTAGTGAATCCACCCAAGAGATCTTTCCTGGAAATCAGCAAATGAATTGGATGGTTATTTCCTGTTTTCAGCATCTAAATTAAAATGTGCTTCATTTACATATTTACAATCTTCAGAGCTGTTTGATGTATTTGAGGCCTGCTGATATGAAATACGCGCACGATATTAAGATGGTTTTGCTTTTTTTGATTTTGTACCATTATTTGGAATTCAAGCTACAACTGAATGCATTCCCTTGTATAGACAGTAGAACGTATTTTACTCAAAAGACAAAAAAAAAAAATCAGAAGCCATTGATTGTGAAGCTGGCTGTAAAGTTGTGCAGTGTAAATCCAAAAAAAAAAAAAAAAAGGAAAAGAAAGTACCACTACGCAAATTTTAAAGTTAGTTATTGCTAGTATTATATGTTACCTAATTTAAGAATGGAGGAGCATTAGAGGGGGAGGAAACTTTGGTTAAGCTGAAAGCTGTGTCACAAGGTGAGTTGTTATAAACTACAAAGAGCTCATTTAGGTTAATTATTAGAAGTTAATTATTAGTTGTAGTGGACAGGAGTACTGATGACTTAGTCCGGGATCACCTTCCTGCTTCCACCATACCGAAAGGAGTCCCCATGCGGTGCTACCCACGGGAACCCGGGTACATGTTCACAGCGGCCCACGAGAGTCCTCAGAGAGGGAGGTTTTAGCTGGTCTGGTAAGAATTGTCAGCTTCAATCATAAGCTGAAAAGTAAACCATTGGAAACCATTTTGGTCTGACTACACAGAAGAAGAAAATTGATCTGCAGATAGATGCCTAAAGTAAATGTAAGAATAACATGACATGAAGTAATTTTATTGTCAAGGGAATAGGCAAATAATATTAGGGAATAGCTAGAAGTTAAACAGAGGGAAAGTGATACAGGTTTTCTCTGTATATATACACCTGAACAACAAAGTGAGCAGTTTAAACTGAAGGAAAATGTTGGCACAAGATCAGGTTAGGATAAACTGCCTTTTGACTAAAATGTGGACTTGAAGATAGAGGGTTCTTGTTATCAGAAAGAACATCACTGTTCTGGACTACCAGCAGTAGGAAAAGGGGTTAAAAAACAGCTCAACCCTAGTGTTCTTTGGAACAGAGCTAGTGTTTGCTATAGGCATGTTGTTCCAGAGCTTAACAGACAAGCAACTTCTCTGAATACAGGCCAGAAAAATACAAACCTGACATAAAATACTAATTTAAAAAAAATCAGAAGCATGATTTCTAGGCCAAAAAGTCTTAACAGTTTAACAGAAAAGGTTTAAAAGGAAAAATGCCTGAATATTGAAGACTGAGGCAAAAAGTAAAGTAGATTTTATGGCATATCTTGATAATCAATCTTCTGCAGGCTAATAGGTAGGTATATCCACACTACCAATTTAATGCATGACTGCCTTGAGTATTTGATGTGCATACGTGAATCCAAATTAACACTTCCACCATCATATTAGAAACCTGAGGAAGTTACAGCATCTCTTTGCACCAGTGTTTGCAATTTGTAAATTTACAGACCTAAACAGTGGTGTGACTAGGAGCTTCTTACTTGCATTTAATACTGCATTGACGTAGTACACTGTTCCCTTTTTGGGATCATAAATGATCATGTGTTTAGTGACTAGCTGTAGACTCAGTGTAGTATGGAAAGTCCTTTAAATTTTATGGAAAGTACCATTCTTGTGCACATCCAATCTCTTCCGCATCCTGATAGAAACCATTTCTCTTTTATTCGAGGATTAGCCCTTATTAAGAAAGAACAGGTTACATTTCTTGCTGTTACAAGTTGTGTAACCAGAAAAGTGTGTCATCCCCCCCATCCTGAGAAGTTTAATATTTATTTATTTTAAGAGATGGGAAGCAGCTGTCAGGATGGCAGCTTTCAAACAAGCATATTCAAATGGCAGGTGTAGCTCTCCAGCAGCTTTAGTCACTTTAATTCAAAGTACCATGTTTTCACTCCTTGGCCTGGTTTCAAACGGTTTCAAATACCAACTTGAGTAATTTGAAATCCAGCTGGATTTACGATCTTGTTTGCAACAACTATATCCTCATACAGAATGTGCCTTCATGGCTGCTCACAAATGCTGAATTTCTGCCAGTTGTTCTGCTTTCCTGTCCACTCCCATACTTGGCCATACATTCAGGGGGTTGATCCAAAAGCCAGCAGTTAAGCTGGAAGAACCTGCCTGAGCAGGCTGACTGCATGGTTGCTGGTGAGTCGTGGGCTGCATAAGTGGAGTCGGGACTGGGAGGTTGGAAGCCGTGACGGGCTAAGCTGCTCCCTCAGCACAGCGTGAGTGAGCCTGGAGAGCTGACTAGCGCTGAGGGCTGCGAGCCAGGGGGAAACAGGGCTGGAAACGGCTGATCTAGGAGACGCTCGTACAAAGGCTGCAGTGAAAAAGAAGAGATGATGTTTTCGTTTGTTCTGCTATATTTCTGCCTCAGTTCCTCACAACGGAAGACAGACAGACATCTTGCTATTTGGGAGAAGAATGGTGGTAACAAGTCACCTGAGCTGGCAGTGTGCGTGAACAGATGCCCTTGTGCCCATGTAGAAACCAGTATATTAGGCAAGGGGGTTCATGAGCAATAGTGGTAGATACCACTATGGGTGGCAGTAGAGCTCTGTGCAGGACAAGTTTGAGGGTGTCTGAACTCAAAACCAGGAATTGGTGAGTTTTGGGGAAGAACTTGCTTTCTGCTTGACACAAGCATGCACCAGCCCATTTGTTTCCCGAGGCAGACCTTTTTGAAGCCAAAAGAATGGTTAGTGAGACAGCGTGGCTGGCCAGAATAATACAACTCCATCCTCACACCAAGGACTTGGTGACTACTGCTAGAGGTGCTGTATTTTTCCACATTCGTAGAGGTGCTGTGAGGCTCAAGGGCAAAAGCTGTCAGTGACTGCCTTTGTTCCTGAAGTTGCCATAGTATAATTGATTTACAACACAAAAGCTGGGAGTGAAACATCCTATTTTACTTATTTGCCTCGGCAGCTAAGGATTGCAGATAAGAAAAACAAAACAAAAAACCCACCCTGAAACCAGTGAAAAGTATCTAGCCATGCAGTACTGAAACATTGATTGCGTGGGAAGAACACTGTAACAGTGATGTAGAATGCATAATGTCTCCTAATCTGTTGAACCTGCTGGCTTCAGATATTACCCAATCTATTTAAAGTCTTTGGATTTGTCTGTCATTCGTGATCACTCACTGCTTTGTAAAAACTGACAGCAAGTGACTTGAACAACACAGAATTAGTTTCAGATATTTTAGTCACTACTGAATGTTTGGAAATGTCCTTTACATAAACTAGAGAAACAGCAGCAGCGACAGAAACATCCCATTTGTTGCTCAATTTTCATCTGCATTTTTTTCTGTTGAGATAAGAACTAAAATTTGTGCAGTCATGTCCAAAATGCTTTGCAGCAGTGATTCTGACTTCATTATGTCTGGTGAAAATTCTTCTGCTGAACTGACTATTTCTCTTTAGCACCTCTCTTCTACAGCATTTTCCGAAAGAGAGATACTTTCCATAACATCATTTCCTTTTCAGAATCACAGGGTTTGGGGGATAATAATATTCATCCATTAAAACTGGTTTTCTCCACAGCCTGGAGATAACCTGTAAGGAAGTTCTGTTACGATCTATTTCCATGTGAGGAAATAGCTTGAAATAACTATTCCATCCCAGCTGTCTCATGCTAACTCCTGTATATACACTTTTATTTTTAGTTATAACTACACAAATGAGTTGCTGTGAAATAATGAAGGTGTGACTTTGCAAGGTAACTACTACATCACAAAACCACCAGTGCACATGTTTTGACATGCTGTTAATACCAGGAAGCGTTCTTCCTCCTTCTCCCTTTTACTTAGGGATAATTACCTGCCATATTGGAAAAAAGTAGTAGTGTAGACAGTGATACCTATTATGAGTAGAACTATATTTCTTTACTTGGTCTTACAACACTGAAACCTTTTTGGGAATCTGCATTGGAACTAATTTCAACTAAGTTATATAAAGGTACTTACACTGTAGTATTTTTCTTCCAAGAAGATGGAAAGTACCAGCGCAAGACAAATATCAATAGAGACTGCAGCTTTACTTTTGAAGTATCACCCAGGTTAGTCGAAGTGGCTTAGATAGTTTAGTCCCGTTTTGAAGAAAGAATCCCTTAGGAGGCAGAAGATTGCTCTGCAACCACATACTTCTGCAGGCATCCTTTGTCACTTGCAAACACATTTGGTAGGCAGATGCCAATGGCTCTGCAGGCATTTGTGCCTGATAAAGTAGTCACTTTTAATGGTGCATTGGCTATCCCTTCTCCTAACAAGAACTGTCAACAACCATAAGCACACTGAGCTCTTGTAAAATAATGTTTGCTTGTTCCAGCTCAGAAACTGGTGAGTTCTGGCAGTGTAGCAGGTGTTAGACAATGCTGCTGCAGGCTGCCTCCAGCCAATTTCCATCAAGCTCAAATGAGCATGTTGTTCAAGCTGACATATATTTAGCAAATTTTAAAAGTCACAGCATGTTTCTAAATGCAACAAATAATTTGAAGGTGTACATAAATTGTCACTGCTGCTGGAGGTGATGATCTTGACTTTCTTCCCACCCTCCCCTGCTGATAACCCAAGTCATCATGTGCCCACATAACCACCCTGCAAGTTTCTCTCTGTTGTTTACTCTTAGATAGACCAGCTCAGTTTACCCTGT